CATATATTCATTTTCAAATTCTTTTTAAACATAAGTTGCTATGAGATAATTGAATATAGTTCCCTGTGCTGTACAGTATAAACTTGTTGTTTATCGGATTTTGTGAATATCCTCCTGTATTTCGAAGCTAGAGACATTCTGCCAGAGTTCAGTAGGTGTTCTGTGCAATTCAGTAGGTTTGCAGATGTAATTCTTGGTGTATTTATGGGAGAAGGCGAGCTGTGAGCCTTTCTACTCCACCGTCTTGACTCCTTCCTCTAAACTTTTGTTCTTATAAGCCACCAAGATTCTTTTTTTGGGTTACTGCATCATAACCTACTTTATCCTAATATACTTGGCTGTTAGGGACAGTATCCTATACTGCTCCATATTTCTCGTGCTCAGTAGAAAGCCCAATACATAGTATATGCTTAATCAAGATTCAATTTATTTCGCAAACATTTCTTGAGTGGTTTTGAAAGGACATGGAGTTCATTTACAAACGCTTGCTTTCCTTTTCCTGAAGACAGGAGCATGGGAACCCTCTTAGACACTTCTTCCTCCACTGCCTCCCCAGCACCTCAGTCTGCAGTCCATAAGAAACTCAAGATGGCCTGAGTAGTTTCAGATGGGGGCAATTAAACGAGGACATTCTAGGAGGGATGAAAACATGACCTGACATGGTGAGATCAGTGGTTGGTTCCTGGGAAGGAAGACAATGAAATGAAGTATTGAAAGAAAGAGCAACGTCTTGAAAAGTTTAGGTAACAGTAAAGATAAGAAGCTAGGGAAGACATCCTGGGTGGAACAATGAGTGCTAGGAGCAGGGATAAGCTTGGAAACACTCTCTGATAAAATGCTGGGAACCGTCCTTACCATCTTTCATGAGAGCTCGAACAGAATTACATTGTATACACTCCAGACACAGAGGGTGAGATCTGTCCTTGAGCTTGGATTCTGAGTAAGCACTCTTAGTCTTAGACCTGAGACTCAAAGTTTTGAAAACTTCAATCTTGATTTGAAAAAGCATAGTAAGCAGATAGATCTCTGAATCACTGACAATCCTTGTCCTTTTTTTTTTTTAAATTGAATATTGACTATGTTGACAAGGAAGGAGAGCCAGGGGAGATTTAGGGAGGAAAGAAGTTAACTGTCAAATGCTCCAAGAAATGAAGGAAGGTGAAAATTCATAGTTAATAACATCAGGGGCTTCCTGCAGGCCAGGCACTGCTCTGTGTGCTTTACAAGTATTACCTCATTTAATCTTCATGGTAAACCTCTGAGGTCAGTAATATTGTCTCCTTATTAGAGAGGACAAAACTGAGGTTCAGAGACATTAATTGGCTTGTTCAAAGTCACATGGCTAATAAGTGGCAAAATTTGAACCCAGACATGTGTGTCTTCAAAGCTTATGTTTTCATTACCCCACACAGCCTCTGATGAGAGACTGTCAAACATCATTTCAAGTAACTTCAAAAAATCCCCAAAAAACCCAGCTCACCCATTGCCATTGCTAATCACATTTAGCACCAGAAGCCAGAGAGTTGAAATGTAATAGAAAGTCAGTAAATCTCCAAGCCTTATTTGAATCAGTTAGTATCATTTTGTTTTTCCACATACCTCCAATATCTCCCGCCCCTAAAAACTATAAAGAAGTGAAGTGTAGAGGTATTCACTTTCCTTTGATGCAAGAAGCAGGGAAAAACCAGGGGCTGGTGGCAGAAATCTGAAAAAGGAATGGAAGGGTCCTGGGCAAGATGTAATGACTCCACTGGATGCATAAGGAAGTTCATTTTCTAGGCTAGGCACACTCCTACTAGGGAGGCTTATGGTCCACACTGGGTCAAAACAAGAGTCAACGGCCAGGCAGGAGACAGATGCAGAGTTTTCTGAATCTCAGACACCACCTTGTCTTGCACGAGGCTAGAGATAGCAGTAGGACCCACTTCAGGCTCAGGGAGAGGTAAATAGTGTGGAGTGAAGGACCACAGCACTGCAGGAGCCTTTTTAAAGGGATCAGGCACATCGGATTGGCCTCAAGGCCAGGTTTCCGATTACACCTTCAGCATGGGGACTTTGGGCTCCTGAATATTTCACAGCAAAATCCATTCATCAGTGGACTTCCTGCAACCTTGTCTGGAAAGCACACATTCCCACAGAGATTATCTCTAATCTACTCATTTCCCCCCACCCCCGCTCTGCTTGCATAATTTTCTTTGCTCCTTTTCTTTTCTTACTTTATAGGCATTCACCTCACTCATTAAGTGTATATGACTTCACGCTTGGCAAAACAGAAAAGCTCAGATTTGCAGATATCAGCAAGGGGGGTAGTTATATTGTTTCCTGTCCTTTTACAGTGGTTTCTCTCTATTAGCTAATGAATCAGATCCTTTTTACCCAGTCAGATTATTTACTTGGAGAGCTTTGAATGAGAGCCACGGCAAAATAGTTGGTTGCAGCAGAAACGAGGAAGTGGAGATGCTGAAGCTTAAGAATGGCGGACACCCCAGAGATGGAGATGACTGTCTATGGCTCAGGAGTGGGGGAGTCCCTTTTTAGCTTGTGAAGCTAAACGAAATGAAAAGACAACTTACAGATTGGGAGAAAATGTTTGTAAACAATGAGACTGACAAAGGCTTAATTTTTAGAATATACAACAGCTTATACAATTCAATAAAAAAAAATCAACCAATCAAACAACCCAGGCAAAAACATGGGCAGAAGATCTAAACAGACATTTCTCCAAAGAAGACATATAGATGGCCAACAGGCACAGGAAAAGATGCTCAACATCACTAATCGTCAGGGAAATGCAAATTAAAGCCATGGGATAACACCTCACACCTGTCAGAATGGCTATCATCAAAAAGAACATAAATAGCAAATGTTGGCAAGGATGTGGAGAAAAGGGAGCCCTGTACACTGATGATGGGAATGTAAATTGGTGGAGCCACTGTAGAAAACACTACGAATTGTCTCAAAAAATTAAAAACAGAACTACCACAGTGGGAGGGTACAGCTCGGTGGTAAAGTGCATGCCTAGCATGCACAGGGTCCTGGGTTCAATCTCCAGTACCTCCATTAAAAAAAAAATAAACAAACCTAATTACCTTCCCCCAATTAAAAAAATAATAATAAAGTAAAAAAAAAATCACCTGCCATATAACCCAGCAATTCCACTCCTGGCTATACATCTGAAAAAAAAAACCCCAAAAATATTAATTCAAAAAAATCTATGCACCACAATGTTCATAGCAGCATTATTTACAATTGCCAAGATATGCAAGCAACCTAAGCATCAATCACAGGTGAATGGATAAAAAAGAGGCAGTGTGTGTATATATACGTACACAATAAATACTACTCAGCCATAAAAAAGAATGAAAATTTGCTATTTGTAGCAACGTGGATGGACTAGGAGGGCATTATACTAAATGAAATAAATCAGACATGGAAAGACACTTACTGCATGATATCACTTATATGTGGAATCTAAAAAAATACAGCAAACTAGTAACTATAACAAAAAAGAAGTGGACTCACAGATACAGAGAACAAGCTAATGTCTACAGGTGGGGAGGGTGGGGAGGGGCAATATAGGGGTAGGGGAGTGGGAGGCACAGACTACTGGGTATAAGACAGGCTCAAGGCTGTATTGTACAACACGGGGAATATAGCCAACATTCTGTAATAACTGTAAATGGAAGGTACCCTTTTAAAATTGTATGAAAAATAAAAATTAAAAAATTAAAAAATAGTAAAAGCATTTCCCCCTTCTTGGCTCCCCAGTTACATTATAAAACTCTTCAAAGGCAAGGCTGTGTCTTCTCTTTAACTTCTCTTCCCCATCTCCTGGCCTCCCCTGGAAGCGCAGAGGAGGGTGGTGTGTCCAACAGCCATTCAACCAGTGTGGTTGATTACTTGTCTACCTAATTGTAGATGACTGTTCCCTTGCTGGTTCACTGATCATGGCTCTGCCACACTCCCTGGGGCAATAAATACCAGTCTGGACTGCCCAGAATGGAGACCTCTGTCTGTCTTGCCAGCCTAGAAGCCTCCTATCTCTACCTGAGCCTTCATCATTCATGAAATTCCTTCTTCTGATTTTGACCGTTACCCTGCTCCTGGCCCAGGTCACCCCAGGTAACCAGGATCTCTCCCAAGGGAGAGTGAGTCAGGGAACCTGATGCATATTCAGGAAACTCTGGGAGCTCTAACAGCTTGGGCTGGGAGAATGGCCTTTGGATAGCTCTCCAGCCAAGGGGAAGTTTGCATTCCCTAGTACTGATTTTTCTAGTGTCATTGGGTGACCACTCTAACCTCTTTTTGGTTGGCTCTGGTGAAGCTGAATATGATAATGGAGTGGCGGGAGGGTACATGGAGGAGACAGACCTGGACATAGACTATAGGGGAAGTAGGAGCTTTTCCAAGGACATTCCTTGCGGGAATTTGAATTTTGATCGATTGTTGACTCTATAGAAATGGTTCCTGAATTTCTGATTGAGGATTTGGATTCCACTCTCAATGTATCTGTGCTACTTTAGGTTGTAGTTTCCCCAGAGCAACGATTCCTAATTATCTTCGCTTGTTAAGACCAGTAAAAAGCCCTGGGATGTTGTGGAGAAGAGAGTTTCACAGATACTCAAGAAGACTTGAGGATGTCCAGATGGGTGTATTTCAGATTCCTGTCTTCTTTTGTTGGTAGGGTCAGAAAAGGGTTCCCAAGGGCAAAGGGAAAGGATTAAACCTGAGCACCTGTGTACCTTATAATATGTGGGAGATGAAACCCTGGAGAGAGGATCCCCTCTTGCCTCCTCAGAGGGAGCTGGCCAGGGAGGGGAAGCTGCCTAGCAGGTCCCAGGCCATGGAGTGGGGAGAACTTTGGGATTGTGCCTGGGGACACAAGTGGGAAAAGAAAAGATAGTGCCTATAATCTCCCTTAAACCCGGAGGATGTCTTGTGGGGGCTTCTCATATGCCTCCTAATTTCCCTTATTACTCTCTCTTCTACGGGGCTTCGACCTCCCCCTTCCCCAGCCCTCTGCTTACTTCAAGACTGACCTGCCCTCTCCTTCTTTTTTTAAATTTCAGCCATGAAGTGTTGGAGTAAGCTGGGAAGCTGCAGAACAAAGTGTGAAGAGAATGAACTGTTCTATATATTATGCAGGGATGAGACTATGTGCTGTGTAGATCCCAAGTACGTACCTGAGAAAAACGGTAAATCCTCAAATGCATCTGGAAGATTGGCATAAACTTCTGTGGCCTGACACCTCAGCCAAAGTTGAGTCTATCATCATTGGACCCTACGGTTCTGTGAAATCATTCTTGACTCTACCCTGTTTGTGCCTGGCAGTTCTAACCGGTTATATTTTATTTTGAAATATTATATATATATAATAAATAAATAATATAAGAAATAATTAATGAAGGAGGGTGCACATGGGTATTAGGGAGAACAGGATGGACTAGTAGATGATCATAATCGCAGTCTTATACATAGCTCCTAGTCTGCTGGCCCACAGCTGGTCCCAGATGGTGTAAATAAGGAATGTTCATTCTATCCATTTGATCTTTGTTTTCTAGGCCAGCACTGCCAATAGAACTTTTTGCAACAATATAATTGTTCTATCTTGTTGTCCAATATAGTAACTACTAGCCACCTCTGGCTATTAAGCGCTTAAAGTGTGGCTTGTGTGCCTGGGGAACTGAATTTTTAATTTAATCTACACTTTAATTTATATAGCTAATGTGGCTAGTGGTCACTGTATTGGACAGTGTAGCGTTAGAGTCTAGAGATGTAAGGCTGAGGCAGGCCCTGGGGCTCCATCTCTGGGTATTTTAGGGGAAGTCAAGGAGACAAGGAAGGACCTGCGATGAATGCAAGAACCTGTTCTTAGCCTGCTGGTTCTCCTTCTCTACTTTCACACCAAAAGCTGCAACTCTCCCCTGGTAACACTTGCAGTTTTGTCCTGTTAGAGACTCCAGGATTGTGGAATTCACCCTGGAGAGAGTTGGTATCAGGCCCCGTGTAGATTCATGCTGCATCTCTTTTCTCTCCCCCTAGTCAGGGCTGCATGATATTGAACTGCTGGTTGGTACTTTTCCAGGACTGGGTTACAGTTTTACTGTATCCAGCTCCATGATTTGGGTCACAGCCCCAAGTATTCCCAACCCATTGTTACTTATCTGACTAATCAAAGAGAACTTGATTCTTTATCCTGAGTTGGAAAGTTCTGTTTGGAGTCACCTGTCTACTATCTAGTCCCTTCAATATGAGAACAGTGAACCTGGCCTCAGCCTCATGGCTTGACTCAGTCATCCTTTGCACACTTTTTGATGAAATCTTCCACTTTAGTGTCCAAGTGTCACTGACGCTGTCAAAGGAAGAGCATTGGATTCAGGATCAGAAGAAGATCTGAGTTCAAATTCTTGCTTGATTACATATCAGATATATAACCCTAGGCAAACCATTTAATTCCCTTTTGTTTTATTTTATCATCTGTAAAACAAGGACTTATCCTACCCAAAGTACAGGGTTATCATGAGAATTAAATGAAATAACAGGAAAGTGCCCAGTACAGAGTCTAGCACACATTTGTTTCCAATAAATGTGAGTTGAATCTAGATTGATCTGACCCCCTCAATTTTCTCCTTTTAGACCCGGCACAGAAATACCCTGCCTGTAAAAAATTATAGATCCTCCTTCCCCAATTTGTCCCAACTCCTACTTGCCAGATTGAATCACTCTTAAAAGTAGATGAAGCCATTGATCTCACTGCTTTTTCACTCAACCTCTCATCTCAACCTCCTGACTCCACTTCCCCCTGTACTCAGGCTGGATATCATGATTTAGCCCTGTAACAATTCTTCTGCAGAAAATCTCAAAGCCCGTGTTCCAAGCTGCCTGTTAAATTCCCAATCTGGTGGAATGCAACCATTTGCTTGGCTTCTCCATATGTATGCTTTAGCAGCTGATTTTTCTAGGAGAAAACTATAGAGCTGGCCTCATTGATTGCATGGGAAACTCAGGGCCTCAAACCTCAAATAGCCCTCAATATTTCTCCACCTGATCTCTTGTTTCTTCTAGGAAGCTTGATTTCTTACTCTTTGAAGTCACTATTCCATGCTTTATCCTGTCTCCTCAATTTTCGATTACTTCCTCTCTCTAAAATATTACTCCTTGATTCATATTTTGAGAAAACTGAAACAACTCCTTCATCTTCTCTTTACTAAGTCTATATAGTCTTTCCCCTGGTCCTACACCTCCTGTCTTCCTTCGGTTTATGATGGAACAATGGTGCCTGCTCCTGAGAGACCAACCCTTGCTCTTGTCCACATCCCTCCTTTCTCCCTTACTCAGGGACTTCTTCAATTATTCTCTTCACTCTCTCCCTCTCTACTGGACCATTTCTATCACTATACAAAGTTCTAGTGCTTCCTATCTTAAAACAAAACATCCCTTAATCCCGCCTCCCTCTCTGGACTATGCCCCGTTTCTTTGCAATTCTTTAAAGAAAAATTTCTCAAAATGTTGTCTGCCTTCACTTCTCTAGTTTCTCATTTCCCATTCAGTTTTCAACTCAGTTCAATTTGGCTTTAACCTTGCCATTGCAACCTGTCTTGTAAAGGTCATTAACTATCTCCAGTGTTGCCAAGCTCAGTAGAGGCACACCGATTTTCCTCTTATTGACTTCTGAGCAGTTGACATAGGGGCCACTATCTCATATTGAAATGCTTTCTTCTCTTCTAAGTTACCAGACTCTTAATTTTCCTTTAATTGGCTGGACAATTTCTTTTCAGTCTTCTAGCTAGGCTCCTCCTTCCCTCCTTCCTGGTCACCAGGGCTTGATTCTGGGCTCTTTTCTCTCTATTTTTTCCCCCACTGGGTGCTTTGAATACCTTCCATGTGCTGATCACTTCCAAATTCATATCTCCAACCCCAGACTTTCTCAAACTTCTAGACTCATAGATCCGCCTCCTCAAGTGACATCTCCATTTGGATGCCTAAAGTACCCAGAATGGGACTATTGGTGGGGAACTCACTTCGCCAAACTACCCTCTTATTTCCCTTTTCAGTAAATAGTAACAGCACAGACCCAGTTGCTCCAAACCAAGAGGTCATCCTTGGTTCCTTACTTGGCATCGTTCCATTCAATTTATCAACAAGTCCTGTGGCTCTTCCTTCAAAATACATCTCAAGACCATCCATGCCTTTCCGTCTAGTTCAAGCCACTGTTACCTTAATCTGAATTTCTACAGTAGTCTCCTAACTGGTTTCTTGTTTAATCCTCTAATTTTCAACACAGCAGCCAAAAGTTAAATCATATCCTGTCACTGCTTGGTTTAACACCAAACTATGGCTTCCTGTTTCCATAAGAGTTAAATTCAGACCCCCTACCATGGCCTGTGAAACTTTACCTGACTTGGCTTTGCTCACCTCTGTGGTGTCTTCCTTCATCCTCACAGGTCACTCTAGCCTCCTTTCTGTTCCTTCATGTCAACAACCTCTTTCCTGCCTTAGGGCCTTGTGAATGCCATTCCTTCTGCCTAAGAAAACCCTTCCTCTGATATCTGTGTAGTTGTTTTTGTCCCATCCTCCAGGCCTTAAATTTTTTTTCCTGGACAAATTCTTTATTTTCAGATCAGTAAACTGAAGATTTTTGAATATAAAAATCTAAGTAATCTGATTAAAAAAAAAGTTAAAAGACCCAGCAACACAGTTACTCATTCTGGAAAAGTGTCAATCTTCTGGAACCTTCTCCAGTTTGCCATAGTCCTCACCACTCCCTAAAGTTTTCCTGGTACAGAAGTTCAGTATCAGGAGCAGCACTAAAACCCCCCAAATGATGACTGTGGCAGACCATGGTAGTACACCTGGCCTTCCCCTTTCATTTGTGTTACTTGCCTGACCTGCCTGTCACTGAAGGCAGGTGAACTTGAGGCTTCATATTTGCAATTGATGTGTTTCTATGATGTACTGGGGGGAAATATCATTTACAAATCAAACTCCATCTGAAATGCATGTGGTTTGCTATTCAGAGGAATCAACTGTAAACTACCTCTTTTTTACATCAAGTGAGCTCTCTTGGTTATTTTTCTATTGCCTTGACAAGAGCTACAGCTTAGCATGTAATTCTGAGAGCTGCATTTGACCTATTGAAATTCTGTAAAAATTTCTTTCTTTCATTATTATGACATTTACTTTTGCACAGGGGAAGCTTGGGTTCAGTGTGATTGCTCTTCCTTTATGAGTAATCTGTTTGGCTTTTTTTCCTGGGTGGATAAGATCACATTTCTTAGACAACTTTTATCATAAAAATAAAACTGTTACCAAGACAAGTTGAAGACAGAGTAACATTAAATTAATTTTTGCCAGGGACATGGTGAGCTCATTAGAGCTGCGGGATCAGACTTTTTGTTTTCCACCCTAGCAAGTTTTCCTTTTTGTATATAGTTAAAAAAATTTTTTTTGATAATTAAAGTTCATATAAAGTTTACCTATGCCCATGCTAAGCGATACAGTTCATTGATTTTTGGTTTCAGAACATTTCCATCGTCCCCCATATTTCCTTTGTACTCATTTGCAGTTAACCCCAGCTCCCACACCCCAGCCCTGGCCAAGCCTGAACCAGGAATATACTTGCCCCAGTCATGACTTAACTTTGGGCAGGTACTGGTCCTCCTTAATCACTCATCACTGAGGTCAACACTCACACCAACAATGCCAATGGCCGCAGGCGTTCAGGCTTTAAATTTAAATGTCACCCTTGTAGGGAGGGTATAGCTCAATTGGTAGAGTGTATGCTTAGCATACACAACATCCTGGGTTCAATCCCCAGTACCTCCTCTAAAAATAAATAAACAAGTAAACCTAATTACCTCCCCTCTCAAATAAATTTAAAAATAAATAAACTTAAAAAAATGTGACTTTTCTCGACATATTTGATGATGAAACAGTAAAATTTAAGGTTAGCATTCATCAGAGACCAACTTCAGCAGAAAGGGCATTTCTTGAAAGGATAACATGTAGCTCATAGAACTGACTGGAAGTCTAGACAAGTGGACTTGGAAGGACTAAGAGGGAGTGGGCAGCAGAAATAATCTACCAGGATCCCACCACCAGCACTGCCATCTTGGCACTGGACACCAGCATCACACCTGGACTCTCGCCTGAACTGCTCCTGCGGTGGCTCCGTCTGTGGACCACCATGTGAGTATTTTCTCCACTTGCCCTGTGGTTTGGATTTAGTCC